TATTCGGCCACATGCTTTGCAACGTGTTTCCACTGCAAGCGCACTCTGTCGGACGACTGGGAGGATGGGATGGATGCGTGGAAAAAGCACGTGTACCTCAATCCATTCTGCGGATACGTGAGGGCCATGCGTGGACGGGCGTGGGTGGACCGAGTGTACGACCTGGCATGGGGTGGAGCCCAGCCTTTGGATTGGTGGACGTAGACATTTAAGTGTTTTCGACCAATAGTATGCGTGTGAAAGTGCTTTTGTACGTCTAACTGTTAGTTTTTATGCGCAGACATGTATTCAGTGCTTGATAGTGATCCACGTTTTAAGGCATGCTTCGGCTGTTGTGTGTGCGGGCCGACCATGTCGGGAAAAAGTGAATTTGTGTTTAATTTAATTAAAAATCGAGAGCAGATGATGGACCGACCGCCAGACCGCATTGTGTATTGTTATGGTGAATATCAGAAAGGATTTGATTTGCTACTAGAGGCAGAGCCGAAAGTGGAATTTGTTAAGGGTATAGAAGAAGTACTGGCCAACGATGATTTTTTTAATACTAATCAACAAACACTGCTTATTATTGACGACTTGTCACACGTAATTAACAAGAATATGCGATGTACAAAGTTATTTACGCAAGGCATACATCACAAAAATGTATCCGTGATTTTAATCCTGCAAAACTTGTATAAACAGGGAAAAGCTATGAGAGACATTATGCTAAATTGTCAGTATCTAGTGCTGTTTAAGAATGTGCGTGACGTGAATCAGATTAGTACGCTAGCTCGGCAGATGGATCTACCGCACCTGGTGGACGCTTACCGAAAGGTCACTTCGGAGGCGTACCAGCCAATCATTCTGGACTTGAGAAGCAACTGCCCCGACTATTTAAGGGTGCGGTCTCATGTGATGCCGGATCAGTATATGCGGATTTATTTAAGAAAGAACAACAGTACTCTGCCTAAGCCATGTCGGAAAGAGTGAAGGCCTTAGCGCCCTACATTATTACTTTACGGAGTCTGAGGCCGAAACAGCGGAAGGTTTTATTAGAGTATGTTAATCGGAACCAGCTGAAAGGGCTCGAGGAGATTGCAGTCAATATTATTAAAAATACCATTACCTTGCCGCCGGCTCATCTGGATACCTGTAAACGACACCGAAAGTCCCTGAGGCTCTTGGCACTACGCCGATACCCGTCCAAGAAAAAGCGAAAGATCCGGATTTATTGGAGCACTTATTGGAGCAGCAAGGCGGATTTATTGGAGCACTTTACCCGTCATTGCCGGTGTGCTAGGCAGTTTAATCGGCAATGGATGAATTTTTAATTGTACCTAAGCGAATAATGGACGACCGCCTGGCCAGTAAAATTCAGTTGAATAAGCAACCCCCGGAGGCGGTAGAAGTGATATCCCTGGACAATTTAGTTGCCAAGATCGTTAACCGTAATGATATAAGCGAGTACGAGAAGGCCAACCAGCTATCTTCCACGTTAGAGCGCTTTCTAGCCCTTAAGCCACGTGCGATTCCTGAAGAAAACCCCATCCAAGTTCCTAAGTACGTTGCACCGAAACCACCCGAGCCGGCTAAAGAGCCCAAACGCAAAATACCCAGGCGTCAGTTGAGTCCGCCAACTACACCAGCAGAAGTTGACCACCAGGAGATTTTCCATGCACCGCCTTCCGGTCGACTGCGTGCCCGCAAAACGAAAGGAGGGCAGAAAGGCGCAGGCAATCCACGAGCCAAGTGGATAACTTTACCGTAGCATGTCTTCTTTTTTGCCGTCAGTTCTACGCCTTTGCCGAGTCTTCCGGATAAATTGTGTCTCAACGTGTTGCAATGAATCAACTCCTGAAGAAATATCTGGACGCAAAAAATCCCGGAAGCTTTGGCGGCGTAGAAAGGTTTTATCAAGCGACAAAGCAACACAAACTGAACCGTGCGAAGGCCAAGGAGCTGTTGGAAGAACTGGATGAGTACACGGTAACAAAGGACCGTTCGAAACGTTTTAAACGCAATCAAATTGTGGTCACGGACCTTCAAATGCAGTATCAAATTGACTTGGCTGATTTTTCTAAATATTACAAAGAGAATGATGGTATAAAATATCTGTTGTTTGCTATAGACTGCTTTTCTAAAAAATTATGTGTGGTTCAAATGAAAAGCAAAAATGCTACGGAAACAAGAAATGCTTTGCAAAAAGTGTTTGATGACTTGGGTGAACCGATGCGTGTACAGACTGATAAAGGGCGCGAATTTGTGAACGATATTGTTCAGTCATTTCTGAAATCCAAAAGAGTGGAATTTTTTACATCCGAGAATGAAGACATCAAATGTGCCATGGTGGAGCGAGTAATACGCACTATAAAATCACGCATGGTCCGGCTATTCAGACACCGAGTGTCCACACGCTATACCGATAAGCTCAATGACCTGGTGCATTCGTACAACCACTCTGTCCATCGCGCTCACGGCATGCGGCCTGTTGATGTCACCGAGGAAAATTCACTGGAAGTATTTAACAAGCTGTACAAAGACACTGTCGCCGAAGAACCCAAGTTTAAAGTGGGCGATACGGTTCGTCTGGCCGTTAACAAGGGAAAATTAGACAAAGGATATAATTATAATTTCAAAGAAGAAATATTCACCATTGCCAAAGTAGTACGGCACAGCATTCCTGTGTATCGGCTGAAAGATGAGCATGGCGTAATTATTAAAGGGCAATTTTACGGGCAAGAATTATCACGCGTGCGGAATGTGGAGAATAAAGAGCATACCATTGATTTTGTAATCAGACGACGAAAAGGTAAAGCTCTCGTGCGGTGGTTGGGATACGGGCCAGAACACGATACTTGGATCTCTGAAAAATGTTTGAAGGATCGCCATTCTACTTAACGCTGCCCAGCGATGTCAACAGTTTCACCGAAAATACTGCATCGGACTGGACGACACGCCTTAAGCATCCCATATCACTCAAAGGGCGCTGGGAAATGGCTTTGGTGGAATTTCAGTGCAATAATTCTTTATATACTCTGAGTCATGACCAGCATATTATTTTGGATACTGTATATGGCCTGGAGTACACTAGAGTCTGGGATAAAGAGAAAGAGGCTAATACGGATCGGTTAGTAGAATTCCTAGGGCGGAGTACCTATACTGATGACATAGTTGTCCCTGCTGGTAATTATAAAAATGTGGCGGCAATACTGGAGGTGATCAATAAGAACGCGCCAGTGATGAGCATGAAGAGCCCTTATTTCCGCGTCAACGGAAGCCATCTCAAGAACTTGAGCATTTTACCAGAAAATAAGTATGTGCAAATGCAACTCGATAGCCATAATAATCAACGGGTCAAAATTACTGTGGGAACACCGCGAACAACCGTGTATTTTCCTCCGGAATCCATGGCATTGCAGAAAATACTGGGATTTCGAAAATCACACCTAACAACGGACTTTTGGGATCTCACCCCACAAAGCGCAGATTTCTTGGCCGTTGATGGTGTTGTCGAAACGTTTATGGAAAAATGCAAGGATGAAAATTATTCTGAAACCCGAGAGTTCATCGCTGAGCAAGCGGCTAATGCCCATTTGCAAAATCAGAATTTATTTGTTTATTGTGATGTGGCTGATTACAGTTTAATTGGCGATACGGCAGCGCAGTTTTTGCGTAATGTACCTATTAGAGGCGGTACGGATCCTCTCGTGGAAGCAAGGTTCGACAAGGCCCATTATGTCCCTGTTATTGCTCAGCATTTTGAGACAGTGCACTTAACACTGGCGGATGATCTGGGAGAAAACGCCAAGTTTGAGAACGGCAAGTCGTTGGTGAAATTGCATTTCCGACCGCAGAAGCTGTTCTAAAATGCCTTTAGTACCGTATGTTCCTGATCCGCGGCGTTATGAAGACGTTTTCGTGGCGCAGACTGGTGGTAGCCCTCTTCTGCGCTATCGTGGTACCTTGCAGAATGGTTCTGGTTTTGCGCAAGTATTAAAGAATATTATTGCTAAGATTTCTTCATTTGCTAAACCGATTATACGAAGAGCGGCACCGCATGCTAAGGCAGCACTCGAAGCAGCAACACCGCACTTGCAAGAAGCAGCCACCGGAGCTATTAAAGACGTCGCTGCACAAGCTAGCGAAGCTATTAGTAAACGGATGCAGCAAGGCGAAGGTGTGCGAAAAAAGCGTACTCGAAAAACCCGTAGAACAACGAAGCGTGCCCGTAGAATTCCCCCGACAAATATTCCTGATTTTCTGTAATCATGGCAATGATGATGATGCCCAATTCGGAGCCAGCAATGCAGTTGGAAAATCAGCTCTTTGCTTTGCCTGCAACATTGACCGACCGATGGCGCACTGAACACGAGAAACTTAATCCTACAACGATATTTACCGAGGATGGGACGGCTGGCGATATTAACTTCTACATTCCTCCAAGTACGGCTGGACTGTTGAGTTTAGGTGACATGGTACTGGAGTTGGAAGTGGCAATAAAGGTCAAGAAAAATAACCAGAATAATTTTGAAATAATCACTGCCGCTGAGGGGGTGGCCCCGGTGAACAATTTTCTGCATTCATTATTCCAATCGGTTCATGTAACGGTGGCTAATCGCCTCATCTCGGATGCGGCAACATTTTATCCGTATCGCGCTTATTTTGAATCATTGTTATTTCATTCTCCGGAAGCGCAATTTTCGCAATTAAGCTCAGCGGGCTATGCACTGGATTTGCCGGGAAAAATGAATAATCAGACCGATAACACTGGTGAAGTATGGCGGTATGACCTTTTTGGGAAGGGAGAATATGTACAATTATCCGGAAAAATATTTGCCGATTTATTTGACCAAAGCAAACCGCTCTGTACGGGTATTCCTGTCCAAATACGATTAGTTATGAACCGGCCAGAATTTTGCCTACGCGTTTGGGATGCCGATAAAGATACCAAAACATACAAACCATTCATTCGGAATGCTCGGTTATCGGTACGCCGTTATATTCCGGCTCCGGACTTTATGACCGCTGTAGCCGGCCAGTTACTGAATCGCACGGTTAAATACCACATTGAACGGATTGTCATGCGGGTGGCCGACATTCCGAAGAACACCCAAAGTACTGTAGTGACCAATCTGCAGATTGGTCAAATTCCTAAGGTGGTATTCATTGGTTTCCTGGACAGCGAAGATTTTCACGGCAATTACCAGAAAAATCCATTTAATTTTCACCATTTCGACGTACGGCAAATAAGTGTGGAAGTGGATGGACAAAGTTATCCGACCAAACCATACAATGCTGATTTTGCGAAAAATCAGTCATTGGAATGTTACGATGGGTTGCTGGATGCACTGGGCGCAAAAAACCATCCCACCGGATGCTGGTCGGTCAATCGTAATGGCTATAACGAAGGATACGCTATTTTTGGTTTTGATTTGACACCTGGTCATACGGGGCGTGGACCGTTGACTTTAATCAAACAGGGAAATTTAAGTGTGTCGGTGACCTTTGCAAAGTCACATGCTAAATCGCTGATGATGGTGTGCATGATGGTGTTTGATAGTATTATTGAGTTTAACCAGCATCGTCAACTGATTGCGGACTTCTCAACATGAACTCGGAACAATTATCGGCGGCCATGCGGGCTAACCCTATTACTAGCTCAACATTCCGTGGTGTGTTTGCTGCCGATGAAGTACCAATGGACCTACAGCCTTATCCTGCATCATGTATCGTCAATACGGATCCAGCAAAGCAGCCGGGCGAGCACTGGGTGGCCATATACCAAGACCAAGCCAGTGTCATTGAATTTTTCGACTCGAATGGGAAGTTACCGGCGTATTACAGCAACGCACTCAAGCAAAGATTTTCTGGTAGTGTTAGACTAGTGACCCAAGGCGAAGTGTTTGCAATCTGAATTTTCTACTGTGTGTGGACAGTATTGTATGTTTTTTATTCTACAGCGATGCAGTGGTCAGCCATTTGGCTCAATTGTTAAAATGTTTACTGAAAATAAGGCGAGCAATGACAAGATGGTTTGCCGAACTGTTAATCATCATTTCCAACTTAATACAGAAATATGCAATAGCAAATTTCTAGAAAAACAGATTGTTCGTGCATTAATATGAAATAAATAACCAGTAATTACGGCATGCAGCGTTACGCATTACATCATCATTTTATCCAACTGGGCACGCACTTCCTTACGGAACTGTGCCAAGTAGCTATCAACATCTAAATCAATACACTGACCCACATCAAGCTGATTAAGCAACAACAACACACCATGAATCTGCTTCTTTTCCAGAACGTCCTTTTCGGCAGTGTTCCATTCTTCATCCGTAGCGATTCCGCGCATCGGCGTACGACCAGTCGCATTCTCACGGTGCTCCCGAATATTGCGAAACATAATTTCAGCCAATTCCTAACAAATAAATCGGACCAGTGTGAAAATCTGACGGTTTAAAAATAACAAAGTGCAAAAATTGACAGCTCAAAAATTGCATGTTGTAAAAAACAAGCAACGCAAAATTACGCATTGTTAAAAATCAACAATTAAAAACCGACATTGTAATTTGCAACAAGTAAAATTAAAATAATTGTACGTATTCAACTAACCTGTTTCAACGAAACGGAAGCGAGACCAGGCTTGGGATCCGCGGCGACATCGTGAGCTTCGTTGGTGTCCCGGATCTCCTTCAGCAGCGTAAAGTCCACCACCAGTTCCTTGAGTCCTTCGTAGGCCTTCCGACCGAAAGAAATACCGACCTTGGTTGGATATAAATCTTTGTTAGGCGACAGGTTAAAGCGGCGTACAGTGGCCAGGTCCATGTTGTTGTAGCGGCTCCACTGGAAGTACAGGTTGTCGTCCAGGCAGTAGTGAGGAGACAGCTTTCCATTATCGAACAATGGCGGGCACGATGAGACCAAGTCGGCTTTACCAGTCAGCATTAATCCGCAGAGGCGCAAAAAGTTGTTGATGGTCATGGCGATGTACTTGTTGGCATCCACAGGCTTAAAGGTACCATCCGGCTGCTCTTTGAATTCGGCTAGGACCACCTTCGTCCCTCCCTCCAACCAGCGAAACAGGGCGAACTTGTCGAATCCGATTTTGTAGACGGGCAGACCCTGTTCGGTACAGGCGTAGCGGGCATGCTTGCCGGTAAGAGCGGAGGCGCTGCTGCTGCTGGCAATGTCGGATTTCTTTTGGCGCTTGATAGGTTCCAGCTGCGTCCGGTCCTTGGAGATCTTCATGGTGATCTTGCGCTTAGGATTCTTCCGGGCCGGGGTCGAGGTCGACGGGATATTAGCGAGAAATTCCATTATTGAAAAATGTTAACTAAAAGGTCACCAGCAATTTTCAAAAGTCAGATCAGAAAAGGAAAACGAAACTGAAAACTGCTTTTCAGGGCTCTGGCTGTAGACTGATTTTATACTGATAAGTGGTTAGTGCTTATCCACCTAGTCGTTAGGCTAGCACTGTGTAAGTTAGCCACTGCACTGTGTAAGTTAGCCACTGCAGTGTGTACGTTAGCCACTGCAGTGTGTACGTTGCCACTGCGTCGGTTAGCTACACCATTGCGTATGTTAGCCACTGCGTCGGCTAGCTATACCATTGTGTAGGTTAGCCACAGGAGCACTGCCAACACACTTCAAAAGCGAGCTACAGCAAAATCAGTTGTCACATTTGGATTTGATGTTCACTTGTCTTATTAGAGTGCTGTCAAAATGGCTGTTCACTGTGTTGTGGATGCTAAATATGTTGAGATTCAAAATGTTAAAGTGTTTAAGCATTTTGCTATTATTTGTCCTGAGAAAGGCAAGAGTATGTTCGCGACAGTTTTCCATCCATCTAAGAAATATATTGTTGAAGAATATGGATTACGTAATGTTAATAAGGGTGTTATATTTGGCATGCAGTTGTCTGAAAATATTCGCAGCTTACGTAGTACGATTGACACCTGGTACTCTGTTATGTTTGACGATTTCGGTGACGAACACGATTGTGGTCATCCTCATTGTAAGGGCGAGCGTCAGTACGATGTGCAGTTTTATGCAAAGGGTGCAGACAAGTGTGCCGTCCTAGCCAGCATTCTGAAGCCAGCGACCGTTCTCAACCTGGACGATTTGAAGTGTCCACCGTTTTGCCAGCTGTCCAGTGAACGTCCAGACAAGTGGAATAAGCCTGTTGCGTACGCCAGATGGTTGGAGGGGTACCTGAACCAGAAGACCTGCACGACCTGCATGAGAGAGCGACCGGATACCAAGAAAGAGCTGACCCAAGATGAATGCGAATGCGGAACCGTCCACTGGATCGGTAAGAGCGCTCGTATATACCGCAACAATGCTTACGAATCGGTAGTCATTATAACCAGCCGGCTTTTGCACATACGTGGTAGTAATCGAACTCGTATTAGCAGATTGTGAAGGTGACCAATGTTGTGGCGACTGCGGAGCTAAACTGTATCCTGGACCTCGCCCAGTTGGAGAAGACACTGTCGATGGCCCAGTACCTACCGCATAGATTTTCCGGGTTACTCCTGCGGACACTGCACCCCATGAAAGGTCATTGTCAGCTGTATGCTAATGGACGGATTACGGTCAACGGCGGCACGTCCAGACGGGAGTCCTGCGCTGTTGCATCATTTTACTAGTGTATTACGTCAGTATGGTTATCGCTGTATGGTTACAAATTATCGTATTGTTAATATGATTGGTTCCTTTAACTTTGGTCAAAAGTTAAATCTGGAAAGTATCAGTAATCGCCTGCAATTATCCTATACTCCGGAATTATTTACTGGTTTACCTATTCGCTTATTTTCATGTACTGCTGTTCTTTTTCATTCGGGGAAATGTAATTTTCTGGGCGCAAAGTCTGTGGAGTGTTTGAATGCTGCGGTAACAGAATTACAATCAAAGTTGTGACAGCCGTCGCTTCGCTCGCTCTGCGTTCTTACCAGTACGTACGTTCACCTAGTATACTGCACTCCAATTCAACTTGCAAATCGATAAGCTAGCCTTTGTAGACTTGGTTGATAGAGCTGACTCTAGCACGAAAGCGAAGATTACAGTTTTCCCCACTTGATTTCCGTGGCAAACTTTAAAAAAGTTGTTCTGCAGAACTCAGACCTTTTGGAGAAGCAAAAATGCCATGGTAGATTCAAAAGTGAGTCGCGTGATGTGATTGGCCCAGCAGCTAACTGGAACCGACCAATCACGATTTTCCTAATTGAATTTTTAATTCCTATTTTCCACGCTGGAAATTCTTTTTTTAATTGAATTATTAATTCTATTTTTCCAAAACCATGTCACTAAAGATTGAAAGTAGCGGATTCCCATAAGCTAAAAAAGATCTTTGCTGCCCATACGTCAGAAGTACAGCCGGTGTGATTTCTATACTAGCAACTGTCAAATTTACCACGTATTGGGATTCAGATGCGAATTGTATCTATGTCAAAACGCTCGAGCGCGCTCCAACTCACGCACTGATTTGTGAGTCAGACAGATTCACTGATAACGCTGCGCGCATTGGTCAGATGGAGAATCAGTTGCTGAATTATAAAACCGAGCTGTTGAGCTCGGTTTTATAATTCGTGGCCACATTCACGACCGCACATCAACTCGTTAAAGTTATCCTGAGCTGCTTATAAATGTTCGTGATGATTCCGTGCTGCATTAAACTGTATGAAATTACGCTATAGTCCGTAATTAAGTGTTGAGATAATATGGTTTAATTAACTTAATTAACTAATTACTAATTAAGCAAACTTTAATGAACAGTTATAACTAGAATCATTTACGCCTAATTAGAACATTTAGCACCTAATAATTAATTTTGCACTTAAGTAGTAGTAATTTTGCACCTGAATTTTTAGCACCTAATTAGCAAATTTTGCCCACATGAAGAAAAACTTAATTATTGCATGTCATTAAGCTTAAATTATTTTTCTCATTAAGTTTGAACTTGTTGTGTTGCGTTGACCATGGCAATAAACGGCAATGAAGGCTGATTTATTGCAGAATTCACGGTGCTCTCAGATATGGTATTTTTTTCTACTCGTGTATCTGTTATCACTGGTGGGAACATATTTCAGTTTTTTCTCTTAGTCATAGAAGAAAGATGAGTAACATATACGTGCGCAGCAGTCGTGTCGCAGATACAAGCGGGCTGCTGATATCTGACAGTTGCTACTGTATGCCTTAAAGTACGCGCTAAAATTATGCCGTGAAGGAAAAATTAATATCTTACGATGATACGCCGAACATGTACCGTGAGTACTGGCGGTGGGAGAATCTTTTACGCAGATACAAAATTAATAGCACTCGCAAAAATGCCAGAAGCAAACAGTTACTCGTACTTCTCGCAGATTTTATGTAGCCTGTATTTCTCATCATAATGCAGTTGCTTAAACGAAGGATTACAGATATTCGTTCTTGCAATTTGCAGTTTCATGCTAATGCAGTTATATTGGTGCTTTTGCTTTCATCATGAGGGTTTCAGGTATCGTTTTACTTTTTCTCTTCGTTTCACCGTCGCCATTTTGCTTGCGTCCAGATACGTGCATTTTTATCTATGAAAAAATAAAGGAAAATGTACTATTCCATCAATATCCTTCACAATAATTTCTAAATGGTTTGTTTATCGTTGTTTGCAAAACCCTGCCATAACGTCGGTATCGGCAGCAGGTGAAATAGAGAAAAGATACGAAAAAGCTATACTTATGCCTATACTTGTATGCTTTAAATGTACTCGTATTCTCGTATGCGTTGACTCGCAGTTTGTGCGCATGAAAACTCAAAACCCTATCCATCATGTCAAATGTACAAAATCCGCCTAAACGGAATTTAATTATTTATGAACGAGATTTCGCTATGGCGAAACACACCCTTGCTGGCATGCTCCACTTACGCAGTAAGCACTCTTAACCAAGCAATATCCAGCATCCATTCTTATACCAAAAGCTACGAGTAGGGTAGCTTGCGAGGAGAGGAAGCATAAGTTTTAATACTGTCAGCGCAGCATGCTACACAACAAACAGAAGCCGCTTATCCTGACTTCCGTCATGCATATAAACTCGATTCACTGAACTGTACAGGCATTTAATTTCCTATACATTGAACGAACTAGGCGTAGGTGTTTATTATAACCGGAAAATCAGCGTTACCGTCCATGTCGAGAGAGCAGAAATCAAAACGCATGACCGCCTTGAACCGCAAAAGCTCCGACGTCAGGAATGACCGGCAACGGTGCGTGTGCGGTTACCGACAAAATATTTTCCCGAGGGATTTTGGAGAAAAGCTGGCGGCTTAAAATGTTTGTATAATGTCCTCAATGCGCAGTCTAACGATATTCTTTCCGAAACACGCGCTCCGTGTTTACCGATCAGCGTGCATTCTGACAGTGCACGGCGTTCCTTGCTGGAATCCTTCAGTAATTATCTACCAGTCACGTTAGGCTCAGAATCTGTTCCAAGAGAGGGAGTATCGTGCAGTGTGATTCGGGTTCAAGTTCAACCGATGGATTGTCATTATGTAACCTTTCTTTTTATTTTGAGTATTCGGCAGAACTGCGATTTACAATCAGTTCCTGCCAAAACTCTTATTGTTTTCAGATTAACAGGCGCCAAGCGCTAAATTCAAATTTAAATTTTCTTGCCTGAATAAATTCAATATAAGTTAATTTAATTTTATTAAACGCACTGTAGTATGTACTGAAAATTTGAAATGAACCACACCGCAGCGCCGGTGAATGCCGCTATCATTTTAACAACAATTAATACCTCAACTCATTCAATTCCTGTCAACTGGATAGATGCATGGGCCGCCGTGTATTTGTTCCTATGCGTTGAAGGTGCCCTTGGCAGTCTTCTTCTCATCAGCCTGATAATCTGCACGCCGAAACTCCGCGCTGGTTGCGGATTACTCATCGCGCATTGCTTTATCCCCTATGCCGTATTATGCGGTTTCGGTTATCCTCTAGTCTGCTACAGTGTTTATATGAAACAAATCTGGCATTGGCAAATAGATGCCAAATACTGTAAAGCCTGGCAGTGGATCCAGTTGGGATGTCGGTTCGCGGCTTTCTGGTTGGATTTCTATATTGCATTCAACCGGATCGTAGCGCTGTATCTCCCGTACAGATACCGGCAATTTTCTCGTTCCCGTAACGAAGTTGTGGTAGTATTATTACTATGGACGATAGCGCTGATTTATTCGGGCTTTGGTTGGTTTGATTTTGGGCTGTTTTACGTCATCATCCCCATTGGAACGTGTGCTGTAGTACCGCAAGGAAAACTCGGACGGCTGATTTATATCACCGGCGGTTATATTCCCGGATGTGGTACAGCGGCAGCCTATGGTATTATCTACGCGAAGACCTTTAATAGAAGGTCGCGGATAATGCCGATCCCGATGGATGCCGCGAGTCAAAGAGGCGAATGGAAGGGACAAAAACGGATGACTACCACCAACATGATGTGTGTTTCGTTTGCCGTAACGGCCGCATGTTCCCTAGTGCTGCCGGTGACAACGGAATTCGTCAAAATTTCCCCAGACGATGTTCAGTATCCGTTGCTTATCCTATGGATGGCGGCTGTCCAAGTGCTTGGTTACGCAACAAGTCCGGTAAACCTAACGGTACAAAATGCAATCGAGCAGTTGGGAATTTAAAATAATCAATTTGCCATTTGGCAAAATATTAACAAACCATTACGAAATTAAAGTCCCAGAGAAACGGTGTCAGCTGGAAAGCGTTATAGCAAATAAAAAATTTTCTATGCAAAGAAACTCTGGCAAAGAGCAGGAGCAGCACTACGCCTTCATTATCTGTATTTGATATTTACAGTAATTTTAATGCGCAGGTTACTGTCACCGGCAGAAACTGCGGTTTTATTATAGATCTCCATGCATTCCGTTTCACGTCACCTCTGTTTTTTAGGTTGTGTGTTTTGCAATGAAAGCCGACTACCGACTGCAGTTGCGGTATGTCATGGTTTACGCACTGCGACGATTGACAGCAGCTGATCAGCTGGCGCCAATAGGAGGTCCATCCGTAATTCCGAGTGCCACCGATTACCATAACAGACGTGTTACAGGATCCCGCATTATGCCCCGTCAGGCGCCAAGATAACTCACATCAGTTGCGCGGCCAGTGCGATTGATTGATTGATTTGATTGATTTAATTTCGAGTAGCCAAGCCCGTAAACGGGCACTCTCACATATCCTTATCCGTTGAAGAACATCAAATATGTTAAGGCTAGTCAAGTCACCACAACTCGTTAAACACCAGTAATACGTACGCTAGAGAAGCAACACGTCACAGCATTGCTGTAGGCTAATACGGGCACAAAGCTACAGAGTACGTCATGCACAAGGCACAAAGCCACAGAACAACAAGATCAGTATCATTCTATATCGCATCCGTATCAAAGTTGAGTCGAAGTTGAGGCCCTTCGTACGTCCACGTACGGTATCGAAGTGGTGAGTTGATCCACGTAGAAACCGTATTGACCACAGGCGTCGAGGAAACGTACACGCCACTCCGTACGGTCAGCGCTGATGCCGACTAACCACTTCGCACACAGCCTTGCGGGCCATGCACTCGCAGCCTGAACTCAGAGTGGTCACCCATCCAAATCCAAACCGCGCTCGATGTAGGCTATCTTTCAAAATCCGAAGACCCATCCAATTAGCTACACGGAGTGTGGCTAATGGGAACGTGAAGTGCAAATGGTGTACGAGTATCTGACTGTCGTCCTTGTTGAATGTCACTACTAAGTCTCAAATGGCGCTGTTTACAACGCTGCATTTCCTGTCATATATCTGAACGTTCTCCTAAATGGGGGTGTGTCTGAGATCTGCATTTCCTTGTCAAACTTAATAGAAGAAAATTTTAATTGAAATTATTTTTAAGGCAAACAAATATTCGTAAGCGGTGAATTTACTCTGTGCATTTGGTTTGTTGCTTGTTCCACGAACACTGTTTTTCCAAAAAAGGGAAAAACATTTTGCCGGAGATCGGACCATGCCATCTTCGTCAACTTCCAGTTCCCAAACACTACCGTATTTTAGTATGAACTGTTCCTGCCCAACTTCAAGGAGATCCGGCCAGCGGCCAGCCGTTCGCTTTTGATCGTGAAGGCACATACGCAAACACATACCCACAGGCACACAACTGTGCAGCTTAAAAAGCAACTTGACCTTTTTAAATAAAGCCTCGTTTCGCTCGGCAATATGAGGCTGCAAATATTTCGCAGATCTTCCACATTATTCAGTCCGTATTCTATTCTGCTGGCATTTGTGAGGTTGTTCGTGTAAGCAATATTGTGAGCGTAACTTTACTGAGCAAGTCAAACATGTAGAGAAAACCTGACGTCTTTGGCATTGTCAATTGCGAATCTGCGACCCCTGTGGTGGACTGTCAAATGCCCACGCAAATAAAATCATTAGCTTGTAAAATTTATAAGCTAATGATCTTGTTGTTTGCGGATATTAAAGGAGTGATAGTAGATAGAAAACGATGAAAATTAGGCTAATGGATTTTATATTTAGTGCAAACAATATTCCTGTTGCTAGCTGATCTTTTGAGTTTAAGTGAAAATGGCATTTCGCTTGTACAAGTATATTAACAAAATAAAAAAAACATTCCTGTTAATTTTATTTCTTCTGGTACTGCAATTACTGGCACAAGTTTTCTCCTGCATAGAAATTTAATTTATTTCTACATTTCAGTCATTTACGATTAGAGCAAGGCAACTCCTTCCGGCTACAGGGACAACGGCGACAAGAAAAAGGCATCAAAGAACAGAAAATCTGTCCATAAATAAAGCGCAGTGTATGCCTCAGATGACTGGCAGATGGCACACCAACCGTGTAACGGTAGTCCGATCAATGCTTAAGTTCAACGAAAATGACTGATTATAATTTTCAAATAGAAGAAATCACACGGATAAAGACTCTGCTCTCCAGCTATTCTTTAGAGTATTGCGGAGTGTCCGGTTATTACTGCTGCTGCCATCGGCCACGTCCACCGCCACGCTGACGGGGACACTGCAGAGCCGGACACGGACAGGCTTGCTTGCAGCGGATGCCGACCGCTGTAAGAAGCCACAGCTGTTAAAATTTCCGTAGTTATTTAAAAGCGGAATTAACATGCACGTACTGGGATTGCTCTGCAGGAATGTGTTGAGATCTTGGTGTGTGTAAGATCCGGACTGGTTGTTGGTGAAGCAGACGGGCATTTGGCGTTGACTGCCCCCGTTCTGCTTCCACTGGCCTCTCATGCCGTTCCCGTTTTGCATTGCTGTAACGACAGTTACAAGTTGCATTGAGGGAATTGGTTTATTACAATCATATAATATTGTGGTAGATTAACGGAGATGTAGTGCGTTACCTTGATTGTTCGACATGGTCATGTTGGTGCGGCATGGACGCGTACCCAGTCCTAAGAAAACAAACGGGATATTTCAAGAACGATTGAAGCGGAAGAAAAAGCAGGAGAAATTTACTGGTATTGTAAATGTGAAATGTTCTTGTGATAGCCTGCTTAATGAGCAAGACGCGTAAATGTGCTTCAGCACCGTAAAACAGCAGTATGTACCGACATGTATTAAAGGAAAGTAAAAAATAATCAGATGTATACGGTAATAAGCACATGCATCCAGAGCATAAAACAAATAAATATAATCTAAATAAAAAAATATAACAAATATTTTTCAGCTAATACGAGTGCAACAAACGCATTAACAGACTAATATAACAAATATTTTTACCATTAATATGTAGAATCAAGTTAATCAACTGTATTTTTAGAAATCTTACATACATTTTTTAAAAATTATTGGCAATTGTTTTTAATAAGTCTGTTCTGGCGAACCTTGATTCAGCGCCATGGCGTTGACCAGATCACAACGGGTCGTATAATTTTGATTTAGATTGGTGCAGATTCCCTTCGACTTATGTCCCCTTCCACCCATTCCTCTCATTCCACCCATTCCTGTAAAATGTCACTTATTTCATGCTGTTGTTTTTTTCATAAAAAAAAGTATTCAATCCAATAACTGCTGACGTACCATTACTGGCGGAATTCGAATTGGAACTGGCCACCATATTGGTCGGCTGTGTGCAAACGCAGTTGGGCGGCTGCTGTGGCGACTGCGTAGTGGCCACCAACTGGCCGCGGACGTAGCCAATAAGAACAGCGCATAAAATCACGGCGCACTTCATGTTGATGCTCGGATCCGCAAGTGTAGAAAACTAAATTATATACTTAACCGAAGTTCTTCGCAATGGAGCACCAGAGAAGATTATTGTTACACTAGTAACTGTGCAGCCCGGTTTTATACGGATCGCGCCGGCAGCTGCTTTGATATTATTCCACGCGCTGTCCATTGAGAAAATTGTGCAGTAGTGCAGTGCGGTAGCATTATTTGCCGGTGAATGTCAACAATGACACGGATTGTGCAAGAACAGCAGAACGCGACGCGCGGAATGCGGCTTGAATGGTAAACATATTAACTATGTGCTTGTGCATTCTGTCGTCGTTTTGCATATAAGCAGCGATTTTCGGTGAAACGATGCGGCGGCAATTTTCCTTCACGCTGGACCGATCCCACGTGCTTAGCGGAAAGGGAGCCGGATGTAGTGTGCACTGTGCACTCCCGTATTACTTGCAGTTTTTTTAATGGTTTTATCCGTACGCCAAGCATCCTGAGCACGTTCTGCAGTCTAATGCAGTGGCAGTGCAACACACGATTGAAATGTATTGTACAAGTGCAGTGTTAACAGCGCGTAACAAACACCAAGGGTGTACGCCCATGTTTTCCTCGTTGGAAATACGTTATTTAATAAACGAATTTGCACCGAAAGCACTCAGCTACATTGTTAACGCCCTTAGTGTGCGGCTACGTAAACGAAAATAGCAACAGCAATGACAGCAACGACAGCTGATATAAAGCAACCAGATGCGCGTATTTTTTAATTATTAAATTAAACACAATTTTACGGTATCTATATAACTAGTACATGGTACATAATTTTAAGATACATAACTTTCACTACACAGATATCAGCTACATATTACATTTTCGCATCATTCTTACTTCTGTGTCAGTAGTGCTGTGCATTTTCCATCTACTAATTGTCTTTTACAATTGTTAAATATGCAGTTGTTGAGAAAATATATTTTCTTGTGAACAAGTGTTTGGATAACTGTACAGCCCGTATTGTTTGTTCTGAAAAAAGGATAACTGCAGAGGCAGTTGTACGAGTAAAAAAACAAACATCGAAATAACGTGTTTTTGTGTACAATCGCGGTAGTTTAGATGTACGGTATGCATGCAGCATGTGCATACTGGTTTAATTATTTGCAGTATAATTGTAAGTACCGGTGCTTCTAAACCATAACATGGTTTAGAAGCACCGGTACGGCATACTTCATGATACTTATACGTATATATGTATATAATTATATACATACATACGTCACGGTATGTGTACATACACACATACGTACACTTAAGCATCATAAAGTATGCCATACCGATAACTTGATACGACAAATAGCCCAGCATGATCCGTTCCTTCCTTTAAAGAAATGTAAACTGCGAAATAAAACGGAACAGCCCTTATTAATTAAATTTTTGGTAGTTTATTGTTACCGTTATACAATAAACAGATAACTCACACGTCAGATCAATTAGCGAGAACGTAAGATTTAGATGTACATAATAAACTTCCAGGACGCACGACGTTTGCGCTGCATGCTGATAGCCGGTGAAATGTTTATGTTTTCGAATGGCAGTCGGCAGAAAAGACTGGTAGTCCTATAATTATGTATCTCTTTTCTCCGCATAACAATGTCAGCGTTGATGAAAATTTTGCACTGACATGATTTCCACAATCTTATCGCTGCTGTCGCTTTAAAGACGGCTGCGGTTTACGAAAATATCTAAACGACTACCCAAGCCATGTATGGGAGCAGGGAACTGAATACACCGGTACCTCTGAAATTAATACACTTTAATTAGATCTTTCCGGTTTCCAAATTTCGCCTTCTTTGATGGTAAAATAGTCTGTCCTCAAAACTGCTGATCACCATGTCCGAATGCCTGCGTGGTTCGATTAAGGGATGGCTGCCACGAGCCGCGAATAATCTAGCCGGGAAAACTGTCGAAGAAGTCCTTCGATCCATCGCATCCTACGCCGGACGTCTGGCTGTCCTCAGTCTAAACAAACTTCTCGATCAGACTGATCCGGAATCGGCGTCTGTCCGTCGGGAATTCCTTAATTACTGGGTTGTCTTCGATACTCGCGAGGAGATCCTCCAGTTGCTCCGCCGGCTGGAGGAAACCAGGGACCAACTGCAGCGCACCATCACAACCGGCATCCGCGAACTGAGCATCTTAATACAGCATCGCGACATCGATTTAAAACTGAGACAGATTGTGGAGCATCTAGAGATGTACCTAGCCGCCGATGATCAATCACGCGAATTCACCCGGAAGGAATTTCTCAACGCCTGTCAGCTCTACGATCCCAAAGGTACGGTAAAAAACTGGAAATTTACACAATTTTCAGGCTTTCTCGAAATAATACGAAATAGAATTACTTTTAAATGTCTTCGATTTGACTTCTGAAATTCGAAATGTCGAGAGTGATTCGTTTATTTTAAAGGTTTACTGGTCGCCTATCACAAAATCATCACCACCAAAGACGTCACTGGGCACTTCCTCGGAGAGCTCGTGGAGCACTGCGAATATCAGCCGTTCTTGCAGTGGTGTGATATTATCGCGTTAAACGCGCTGTGTGCGTATTTATGCGCAATGCAAAAACTCCACGTGGTGCTGGAAGACGGAAAGGTCACAAAGGGCACCCTACACAAACAGGATCAGCGGATGGCCGGTCAACTGGAGGAAATCCTCAAGGCCATCAAAGCCGCGCAGATTCAGTACGCGAAGAAAGCCTTCATCGACAAAACACACGGTCAGCAACCATCCGATTTTGTCCGGTTGGTAGATAACTTCATGATCAACTCTGACGCGCTCCCGAAAACGGCTAATCAACGGTTAGCCGAGAGTTTAGGGGCGGAGCTAGCGGAACGCTATCCCTGGTACGCTTGGGCGGTTGTCATTGCGGAAGACAATCCCAGATGGCGGAATTTCATGGCGTATTCCGAGGATTTTCAGGAGAATTTATTTTTAAAGGAGTCCGTCCATCAGCAATTTATGCCGCTGTTCGGTCGACGAGCCGCGCCACGTCCGGTTCTACAAACCATTGTGGCGGGTGATAGTTATGGGATCTTCACTTGCAAGCGAAAGTTTTACACCGGCGGGAAACTGGCGCATCAGCGCCGATTGACCGTGATGTAGATCCATCATAAGGACATTCTTGACGTGAAACTGGACGAGACCGATAATATCGGACTGACCAGTTTAACAATAAAAAAGCTGGCGATGGATTATAAAGTGCAGAGGATAAAAGAGCAGACTGCCCATCGCACGGAAGAGCACAGCGTTATTGAGGAAATACTGTTTAAGAAAGGGTACCAATATGTCGCCTACTTTGGTCTCAGAAAAACCAGGAATAACTCCGACACGGGAATGTTTTTCACCAATCAAGTGGAGAGCTCGCTGTGGCCGTACTGTATTCAGAATGAAGACGGCCATTTATTTCTTTGGCTAACCAAAGGTAACTGGCATAAAGGACCTTAAAGTCCTTAATTCAGGAAAAATTCCATTTCAGGAAAAAATTCAAGAAAAATTCCATTCAGGAAATTTTTAAGCTGTCAGAAAATGACACTACATACTGTTTAACAGGGCTGTTTACAGAAACTGGTGCGAGAGTAAGTACCTAAAATAATTTACGAGATAAACATTCGAAAATCAAAAATGAAGATAATCCTAAACTGAGCTAATGAATTCTAAAGATAGTCAGATAAATCAGAATATGTGTATGTAATTTAAATGTTGCAAGCACAGATATTAATTCCGCAAATCAGCACAACATGGAATAAAATTCTTTATACACAGTGACTCAGCGAGCTATGGATCGGAGACGGCAATTTACCGAATTATGGTTAGCCGATGAATTACTGGGAGGAGGATTCGGTTTGAATGACACCGTGCAGAGAGATAACAAAATGTCCTGGCCAAGCAATAACGCATCCGAATTGCTCAAGTTGGCGGAAGATTCCAATAAGGCTGGCAATGTGTTCCTTGCGGTAATTTATCTCTTTAATTCTTATAATTAAGAATCTCCATCAATGCCCGGGCGTTTTTTTCTAGAAAAGTTATGTTGAATCAGCGATTTACGAATATGAATACGCTTTGTATCTGCTGGATAACGCAATCATGAATTACTCCAGTCAACGGCAACAGTTGCTAACGATCGTTACATGCAATTTGGCTCTGGCGTATTTAATGGCAAGGGATATCTATGCAGCCAAAGATATGGCTAATCGGGTCTTGCATGCGGAGCCCAGTAACAGTCAGGCTCTGGTCACTCGCAGTCTGGTAAGCATACTAAAAAGTGGGTTAACGTTAATTTCGTACAGTATTTTGTTACTTCAGAAGGTCATTAAGCAATTTGAATATTCTGGTATTTTGATCACTCTAACCATGCACTTTTGTGCTCACGTTCCGTAATTAAGAGCACAAATGTTCACAGAGAGATGTTCACGAGCTCAGTCACCTGATTATCGCGTCCCAGCTCAGGCATTCTCTCAGAGATTGGTTCTAATACATAGAAAAAAAGTCAAGTCGCTTATAAATTTCAAAGCTTTGAACATTATTTAGTTTGAATATAACTTTATCAATTTGGTTTGGTTTATTAAGTTTTGGCATATTAAATTGCAACAACTCCGGACCGCGCTGTTGACCGGCTTATAATAACTTGATAATTTTCCAAGTGCCCGAGATATAAGAAAGCACGAAATTCTCTCCAGAAAACTCGATAACACGGTATAATGTACCTTTTAGGCTGATATGGCGTGCGAGAATTATGAATCAGCGAAAGAGGACCTTCTGTATGTACGAACACTGCAACCCGATCGCACCGACATCGGGATCCTATTGAAAGTGACACAGTTAGGCGTAATGAGCGATACTTATTGGGAAGTCAGCGTGGATGATGGACAGAAAAAGGACGAGCTATTTGTCTCCATGCTGCATGACGAGATGCAGAAAATTCTGGGAAAGGTCTTGGAGGCTGCAACGGCCGAACCGGACCGTAAGGACGCCCAGATTCTGTGGCACACGCTTTCGGCTGTTGATACTTTTGTACGGAATGTTGGCGATGAGCTGCTTTGGGAAAAAGATTCCAAACGGTACAGACTACTGGTTGGCTGGTTGGATGCGGTACTCCAGGTCGCGAAAGACATGATAAACTTGAAAAAAGAGTGGATTTTTATCGAACGCAAACACGTCATGGCGGCGCTGCAAGTGCTGAAGCTGCTGATCACAGCTAAAGAGATCTTTCTAAAAATGTGACTGTTTTCAAAATAATTGGATAAATTCCCAATTGTTTTCCGCCGATTATTGGCTTATCCAGTTTTAACAGCTGTCGCGCATTAGTGACGTACAGATGCCGGCAACTGCTATTGTTGCTTATGTACAATGTACAGGTGCGTGATTTATGAGGATGTTGTTCAACGTTGCAGTACCCGGCATACACGTACGCTTTCGTCAACCTGTCAATCGATAAAAGGCGCTGATAAGGGGAACAATAAATTTAGCAATATGACGCAGTATTTTTCCACCGAGAAAATGCACGCTGATAAATTCTTGACAGCCCCGACTGGGTTTATTTGCACTGGGCCTGCGTAGAATGCGCAACATAGGTTCACTCCAAGATTTCATTGGATTTTCGGCTCATTCTCCAAAAATAACTCCGTGCAATTACGTGAAAAACTACGTTTATTGTACTGTATTGTGTAAAGCCGGAATTTATACAGACTTATTAAAAATCGCCCGAAAGGGTTCATCCAGCTCGAATTGCTGTAGCTAGTGCGAAAGAAGCAGCCAGGAACACTTTGCATCAACATTGCATAATAATGGCAGCAATATATCCTGAGCGACATAAATTAAGTGCACTGACAGATTAATGAGCCATTTCCGATATCTTATCTAGCGCCCACAAACCCAATAATTTTCCTGTTCATTCGCTGCCATCCACTGTGGCTATGCAGTCGATGACCGGTCACTATTACGCTGGTACATCGACAGTTCTGTCGGAGTACAATAATGAAATTTCAGTGTTTACCAACATCTGAATATTGGCAACGGTAGCGTAGTATGTTATGCTGGCGTACTCGGTAGTCCGTACTGAGTGCGATGGTTGTTGTTGTGAGCGTGAATGCGTGATGATACTTGAAATCACTAATTAATCTGGTCATGCACCTAATTTATGGCACTTGGAATGTATTCTTAGACTGCCATCGGTATACAACGGTAAAATATTTTGGCATTTTATAATTTGAAGTCTTATAGCAAAAGCTTTCGGTCTGTTATTTGATTTGATTAGTGGGCATTAGATGCGACGATAGTTCAGTCATCATATGCTTTCACGTCGTTGCACATATTTATTTCGAGCAATATCCTTAGAAATCGAATATTGTAATTAACCATGATGTATCGAGTGTGTTCTTTTGCTATAACAAATTTTGATAAAGTTATCATTACACATGATACTCCTTACATAACGTTCACAAATTTGCTGTAGTTTCTTGTACAGTTCTCAACATGACGACCGGAGATCCTAGGACACAATGGCTTGTCGATGGCGCGATCGGCGCCGGCAGCAAACTCATCGAAGACCTAGCCTTATTCATTGCTACACAAACCGGGCGTCTGACAGTCATCGCCATTAATAAAATCCTGGACCGGATCGACCCGGCATCCAAGACAGTCCGCGGTGATTTTCTAGATTACTACCTCCTATTCGATGCCCGCGATGAAATTCTGGAAATCCACCGGGAACTACAACGAACCACGACCGAACTGCAGCAGTCCATACACGTCGGCAATCATCGGCTGAGCGTCCTGATCCAGCATCACGATGTCGACTTGAAACTGCACACAATATCGCACTATTTAACGGAATTCCTGTCGTCCCACGGCGCGTTACGTGATCACTACAAACAAGAATTTTTAGAAGCGTGTCGCGGCTACGATCCGAAAGGTTTATTAATCGGCTTGCACAAAATGATAACCACCACCGACGCTACCGGACAGTTTCTGAACGACCTTATCGAATGCTGCGAATACGAGCCGTTTTTACAATGGTGTGACAAGATCGCGTTAAATGCTTTCCGAGCGCATCTATGCGCATTGCACCGGTTGCATCTTATTATGCAAGATGGAACCATCAGCGACACGGTCTTCCAAGGCCAGCATAAGACCATGGAGGCTCAGCGCCGGGACATTGCCAAAGCACTGAAATCGGCGCAGATTCAATATGCACGACGGGCATTCGTCGGTAACGACCACCGCCCTTCGGATCTGGTTACGTTGATCGACAACTTCATGATCCGCTGTGATTGTGCACCGAAAACGGCCAATCAGCAATTAGCCGAGACCCTGGGGGCGGAGCTGGCCCAGCGGTATCCGTGGTTTGCCTGGGCGGTTGTTATTGCGGAAGACAATCCGCGGTGGCGGAATTTCATTTCCTATTCGGAAGATTTTCAGCAGAATTTGTTCCTGAAGGAATCGGTGCATCAGCAGTTTATGCCGATTCTCGGGAAGAAGGCCGCCCCAGCGCCGGTGCATCGGACGGTCTTATCGGGGGAAAATTACGGTATCTTCACATGTAAGCGTAAATTCTATGCAGGTGGGAAATTGGCGCATCGACGACGATTGACGGTGTTCTGGATAAATCATAATGATATCATCGATGTGAAGTTGAGCGAAGACGATAAGCGCGGCCTTGTTAACGTCAACATCCGGAAAGTAGCTTCTGATTTTAATGTGCAGCAGATAAAGGAACGGAAATTATGTCGAACGGAGGAGCATAATGTTATCGAAGAGACGCTTTTCAAGAATGGTTACCAGTATATCGCGTGCTTCGGTTTGCGCAAGGCACGAGATAAGAACGATACCGGCGTTTATTTCACCAATCAAATCGAGACGTCATCATGGCCGTTATACATCCAGAATGAAAATGGACATCTGCTGTTGTGGTTGACCAACGGTATTTGTTTACTCTTTCAGCTGATTAGATTTTACGGATTTTAAAAAGGAAAATTAATATATAAAAGAAGCTTTTTTTAATCATTTTTAAATGCGATTTACAAATGATCATACTCGTACTGTAAATTCATATGATCACCATAAAAATTTTATGGTGATGATATGAATTTACAGTACGAGTAAATTAGAATCGCATTTATCAAAGAATTGGGGAAGAGACTTCAGCAGCAAACCGGCGAAGCACGCTCGCATGAGTTTTTAAGACAGCGCTTGTCGATAGAAATTCAGCGGGGTAACGCGGCGTCAGTGCTTGGCACGATGGAAGGGCTGGATAAATTAAATGAGATTTTCTTGTTGTAGTTTGCATGTTTCTTTCTTTACTTTGCCCCCAAGTATGATTTGACCAATAAAGTTCATAGTGTAATTAGAATTAGGATTACGAGTACATTAGAATTTACAGCAAAGTAAATTTAATTTACTTTGCTGTAAATTCTAATGTTTTTCTAGGTACTGCAATGTAGCAACAATGTTTCCGGGTTACTAATTTTTTTGTCTGGCAGGAGGGTAGTCCATTAACTTCAAAAAAGAAATCCTTCGAAAATAACTTTTACCATGGCGAGGAGACTCCATTTAAAGCTGGAGCACTAATTGATTTATAAGCTGATTTTATCGGTTTTTTAAATCTTATTTAGTACTTTTAATTACAATGCCCGTGTTAATGTACATATTTTTGCCCATTCAACAGTGGCGCAAAACGCTATGGTACTGTTCATTTATTATAAAATAATTACTTACTAGTATTAAATTCCGATGCCTGTGTATACATTTTTTTGCCCAATTCAATAGTGACACAGAAAGCAATGGATCGACAACGCCGGTTCGATGAGCTGTGGCTCGCCGACGTCCTGGTGCGTGGACAACTGGACATTGACGAACCGACCCGAAGAAATCACCCGGTATCCTGGCCGAGTAACAATCCAGCGCGCTTGCTGAAGTTGGCAGCCGAATCGAACGAGAACGGAAACCGGCTGCTTTCAGTACGTATTATGCCTGACATATTTATGCCAAGTGATAGCTCACAAGGGATTTATTTACTAGCGAGGGTACATGGAATCCGCGGTCAAAGAATACGAGTATGCCAAGTACCTTTTGGATCACAGCAACGGAAATTCAAAGAAGCGGACGAAACTATTACGGCTGACTAACTGCAATCTCGCCCATGTGTACCTTCTGATTAAGGATGTGTATAGCTCTAAGAATGCGGCGGATGCGGTGCTCCAGTTCGAAGCGGATAATCCCCGAGCTTTAATGAGTCGGTTTTTGGTGAGTCTCCTGTAACTTTTTACATATCAGTAAGTATTGCAAAATTCTCAACTTGTATTTCTTATTAAACACCAGAAGGAAGTTTTTGATTGTGAATTAAGAAGGTTAGAGAAATAAGTGCATACAGTGTATATAAGCTTACCAATGCACGCTATCGGGATACATCTGCACGAACCGAGAAATCAGCGGTTCTTCGGCTCACTTTTTTATATGCTTTGATTGTTACGTACATAATAACGAAACTTTTCAACAAAACATTTGCTACTTTACGGTGTGAATAATTCAATCGTAGAAGCCAGCGATGCGTTTTGTAGGCCAATTTGGGATTGACCAATCTGGATGAAGCGAAACGGGATATTGCTCGCTTGGCCACTATTGCCCAGAACGAGCCAGAACCTGGCCGCGCGGCTCGCCCAAGTGGCGCAACTTCTCCGGTTTCTGAAGCTATATTCAACTTGGGCAAAGCTTTATTGGTCCCCTCACAGTCGGAGCGCATTGAGAGCGGTGTGCTGCTCAAAGTTATCGAGTTAGCCACGCTGGCGCGTGGTGATCCTCGAACACCGCGCGAAGAGGATCCACGGAAAGACAAGAAATTTTGGTCCATGTTGCCGGAGATTGTGTTTCATATTATGATTAAGGTGGACGATGCCGCAGACGCGGAACCGGATCGCAAAGATACCGAGGAGGTGCTGGATACGCTGTCGACGGTTGGTGGACTGATACGGGATGTTCTGGAACGACTCGTTAGTGAGCAAGACGAAACCTATTCACGGCTGCTGGTAGGCTGGCTGGATGCTGTGTTTCAAGCGGTTAACGACCTGATTCGCATGAAAAAAGAGTGGATTTTCGTTGAACGGGAAACCGCGCAGGTGGCGCTGCAGATAGTCAAACTGCTGATTACTTCTCACGAAGTTTTCTTGAAATCAGTCTAAGCGACAATTCTACTGCCAGTCGTACTATTTTTACCGTAGAACATGAAAAACCTAAACGGTATTTTGACCCGCATACGGAAGTACCATCTGTAAATCAAGGGGATTGAAACCCAAAATAGCTGCTGTTGTTTATGAAATTATTACCTAGCACAATTCTGCGCAGGATTACATAAATCTGCTCTTCCAGTTTACGATATTTTACTGGTAGGCGATAGCAATCATACTGTTCATGCATATATACCTGTAGTTAGTGTAATTAGGTTTCCCCATACTTATGTTAGTTATTTATGAAGTACTTGTGATGTTCTGTCAGTACTGACAGCTGGATTACAACCTAATGCTACAGATTGGAAAGCTTAAGTATTACAGTACAAGACTTTTTCAAGTGTACCCGAGCACTTGGTAACGATGGACGCTTTTTGCATTAGAAAGCTGTTTGAATATTCGAGACAGAGCTTAAATAAGTTTATCGTGCAAGTATAACAATTTCTTTTCGGCGTTTTAAACAGGCAAAGTTTTTTTTGACTGGACTGCCGTTCGGTCTTCCGACATTGTTCTGTAACGAGGCTAGTATTCGAGGCATTTTTGTTTTTCATAAAACGTGTGATTATAAAATGCACTGAAGACTATATCCATATGGTCCCAGTCCTCTTCATCCGGATTGTACCTCCCGATTATATTTAACACTTGATGTTGACCTCTTGTCACCTTCGGATTTGGATATCTCTCGGAATATTCCCAGTATCTGCAGCCTGTTTTCTCGAGACAATCATCCCGGTCGACCAACATGGCAAAGGGAGACGAACAGCAGTAGTAGGGCAGAAATCCATTTGTTAATACGGCACCAGTAAAGATCCGTACCAACGGTGCATATTTATGCACCACTGGTGCATGCACCGTATGTTTTGTGCACCATGAACCTGACCACTACTTACCTCACAATTGTCAGTTATTGTACAGAGTATAGTATCTATCGTCACCCCTTCGCCGCTTGCTACTCTGCCCATATATGCCCCTTATATTATGGTGCATGTTTATGAACATTATGGTTCATATTTTTGTGCACCACTGGTACTTGCATAATTGCATTTACAAGTATTTACGCTTCATTAAATTTTTTCAGGTTGTTTATCGACATCGAGAAAATTCACGTCGTGTTCGAGCACTGGGGCATATTAAGGGTATAACTTTGCATTACTAAAACTCTGACCCATAAACCAATTTAAAATTTAAAGCCTTAGTTCAATAACTTCCATTGTTTTACACTCAACCGCAGTCGTACACGTGGGGTTTGGGGCAGCAGCATACTAAGTATTTTAGAGTACAGTGGCGCCATTAACTTCGGTCAGTATCATAGTACAGAAATTTCTGTACAGTATATTTCCTGTTTTTCAGCGAATTTTTTTTATTTGTGATTACACAGACTGTTTGCACTGCAGTCATACTGATTCACATGCTGCTTTTCTTAGATAGTTAGTGTATTTATTAAACTGTTATTAATAGATTGATAGTTAACTACAGTACTGATTTGAACCAGAATGCGCATTATTGGGCAGTACAGTACTCATGCAACCATAAAGCCCATACTAACTATTACAAAAACTTAGTCAGTACTTTTACTGACAATAATGGTTTCTTTGATATCGCATGCTTCTTTAACAGTCGCTTGGAGACAGTTTGTGCTTAGTCAATTTTCGTCGCGATGAGTTAACAAACTGTGTGTTAGTAAAAGGATGAGTATGAGTTGCTGTATGTTTATGCAACAACAGCAACAACACCAACAAACCGTGAGTTAGTAAAAGGGTTGTAAGACAACGATGAGTACTACGGGTAGCAGTACTACTGTAAAACAAATGTGGTGCTAAATAACTGCTAATGCCATACTTGCACTGCGTATTATACACAAATTAATACTGGGCCAAGGTGCATACTGTATAATTTGCAGCAGCGCCTTGTAAGTCAACTTGAAAGCCGTCGGAATTACCTCGTAAATCGACCGATTTGTGGTGTGAACGATGGCGAAAGCACTTTACAGTAAGTACTTACGCACTACAGATATTGCAGTATTTATTTCAAAATAATATAATACAGTACTACCAATACATTTTCAAGGTGATCTTCCCGAACACCGCCGAACATCCCGAAACAGGCGAACAGTATATGGGGCATTTGCACAAGTACTGCCCTGCTACAAAGTACTGCAGTACATTATAATCTTCCAGTACCACCACACTACAACTAAAACATATTCTTTCCAAAAAAATTAAGGTAGAAAGTAGTTCTATACCTGAAAAATGTGTAAGCGAGGTACAATCAGCTCGAGAAAAGTCTACCTTAATTACAGTATTTCTATTTGGTTTCATTGTGTGTTTTTTATCAAAGATTAACTCTACTAATGAATCGCACATTTATTCAGTACTAACTCGAATCCGATTGTTTATGGTAAACATTAAAAGCTAGTACTTAGCTGCAAAGTATTATAGTATTTTCAAAGCGTAGCAGCACTTTGCTTTATTCGGCACTGCAGTACTTTCAGGTGTCTCAATCACTTTGGTGCATCATTACTATGGCAGTATTATAGCACTATCAAAGTACTGTTCTACTTTCAAAGTACTACAGTACATTCCAGGTGTCTCAGCGCTCAGTCATCTGTTTCGGCCTGTTCGGGGATGTTCGGGAAGGTCACTTTGGTGCATCAGTACGGTGAAAGTATTACCCCTACGTCCAACTTTCAAAGCACTGTAATACTTCCAAAGTACTGATGCACCAAAGTGACCTTCCCGAACATCCCCGAACAGGCCGAAACAGGCGATTGAGCACTGAGACACCTGGAAAGTACTGCAGTACTTTGAAAGTAGGACAGTGCTTTGAAAGTACTGTAATACTTCCAAAGTACTGATGCACCAAAGTGACCTTCCCGAACATCCCCGAACAGGCCGAAACAGGCGATTGAGCACTGAGACACCTGGAAAGTACTGCAGTACTTTGAAAGTAGGACAGTGCTTTGAAAGTACTGTAATACTTCCAAAGTACTGATGCACCAAAGTGACCTTCCCGAACATCCCCGAATAGGCCGAAACAGGCGATTGAGCACTGAGACACCCGGAAAGTACTGCAGTACTTTGAAAGTAGGACAGTGCTTTGAAAGTACTGTAATACTTCCAAAGTACTGATGCACCAAAGTGACCTTCCCGAACATCCCCGAACAGGCCGAAACAGGCGATTGAGCACTGAGACACCTGGAAAGTACTGCAGTACTTTGAAAGTAGGACAGTGCTTTGAAAGTACTGTAATACTTCCAAAGTACTGATGCACCAAAGTGACCTTCCCGAACATCCCCGAACAGGCCGAAACAGGCGATTGAGCACTGAGACACCTGGAAAGTACTGCAGTACTTTGAAAGTAGGACAGTGCTTTGAAAGTACTGTAATACTTCCAAAGTACTGATGCACCAAAGTGACCTTCCCGAACATCCCCGAATAGGCCGAAACAGGCGATTGAGCACTGAGGCACCTGGAAAGTACTGCAGTACTTTGAAAGTAGGACAGTGCTTTGAAAGTACTGTAATACTTCCAAAGTACTGATGCACCAAAGTGACCTTCCCGAACATCCCCGAACAGGCCGAAACAGGCGATTGAGCACTGAGACACCTGGAAAGTACTGCAGTACTTTGAAAGTAGGACAGTGCTTTGAAAGTACTGTAATACTTCCAAAGTACTGATGCACCAAAGTGACCTTCCCGAACATCCCCGAATAGGCCGAAACAGGCGATTGAGCACTGAGGCACCTGGAAAGTACTGCAGTACTTTGAAAGTAGGACAGTGCTTTGAAAGTACTGTAATACTTCCAAAGTACTGATGCACCAAAGTGACCTTCCCGAACATCCCCGAACAGGCCGAAACAGGCGATTGAGCACTGAGACACCTGGAAAGTACTGCAGTACTTTGAAAGTAGGACAGTGCTTTGAAAGACGCAAAGACGCTGTGGCGCTAGGGTAGCTGTCGAAGGTTCTTGAATCGGATCCTTGAATCTTGATTTGAAAAGCTCAGGCGTTGATCAGTGCCAGTATCTCGCTACAGTTTAACATGGACTTTATCAATATCGCCAACGATAATCAGCCCTTGTCGTTACTGTAATACTTCCAAAGTACTGATGCACCAAAGTGACCTTCCCGAACATCCCCGAATAGGCCGAAACAGGCGATTGAGCACTGAGGCACCTGGAAAGTACTGCAGTACTTTGAAAGTAGGACAGTGCTTTGAAAGTACTGTAATACTTCCAAAGTACTGATGCACCAAAGTGACCTTCCCGAACATCCCCGAACAGGCCGAAACAGGCGATTGAGCACTGAGACACCTGGAAAGTACTGCAGTACTTTGAAAGTAGGACAGTGCTTTGAAAGTACTGTAATACTTCCAAAGTACTGATGCACCAAAGTGACCTTCCCGAACATCCCCGAATAGGCCGAAACAGGCGATTGAGCACTGAGGCACCTGGAAAGTACTGCAGTACTTTGAAAGTAGGACAGTGCTTTGAAAGTACTGTAATACTTCCAAAGTACTGATGCACCAAAGTGACCTTCCCGAACATCCCCGAACAGGCCGAAACAGGCGATTGAGCACTGAGACACCTGGAAAGTACTGCAGTACTTTGAAAGTAGGACAGTGCTTTGAAAGTACTGTAATACTTCCAAAGTACTGATGCACCAAAGTGACCTTCCCGAACATCCCCGAATAGGCCGAAACAGGCGATTGAGCACTGAGGCACCTGGAAAGTACTGCAGTACTTTGAAAGTAGGACAGTGCTTTGAAAGTACTGTAATACTTCCAAAGTACTGATGCACCAAAGTGACCTTCCCGAAAATCCCCGAACAGGCCGAAACAGGCGATTGAGCACTGAGACACCTGGAAAGTACTGCAGTACTTTGAAAGTAGGACAGTGCTTTGAAAGTACTGTAATACTTCCAAAGTACTGATGCACCAAAGTGACCTTCCCGAACATCCCCGAATAGGCCGAAACAGGCGATTGAGCACTGAGGCACCTGGAAAGTACTGCAGTACTTTGAAAGTAGGACAGTGCTTTGAAAGTACTGTAATACTTCCAAAGTACTGATGCACCAAAGTGACCTTCCCGAACATCCCCGAACAGGCCGAAACAGGCGATTGAGCACTGAGACACCTGGAAAG